GATAGCCTACCTTCAAACACAAGGGGGAATGTAACTCCTTACTCCCTACTCCTTAGATGCAGGTAGCTCCTGGTAACTCCTGACAATATGGGAAAGGGAAATAAAGTAACTTTACACAGGAAAAACCTTAACAAACACTGCCTCAGCCCGTGTTCAAGGTCAACATCAACAACCCTAAGTCACATTGATAATATGTACCCTCCATATGACATGAGGAGAATGACACTTTACCTCTGCAGTTTTCTAAAGGCCCAAAGCTATGGTTTAATCAAGGGAAAAACATCAGACAAATCCCAATTGAGTGACATTCTACAAAATACCTGACTGGTACTCCTCAAGACTGTCACCGTAATCAAAACCAAGAAAGTCTGGAAATTCATCACAGCCAAGAGGAACCTTAGGACCCCTGATGACTATAAGTAGTGTGGTATTTGGGTGACAGCTGGAACAGAAAAAGGACACTAGAGAAAAACCAAGGAAATCTGAATAAAACATAAAATTCAATTAATACTAATATACCACAAATGTTCTATATTAACAGAGGAACGTGGATATTAGAACCTTCTGTATTATCTTTGTAATTTTTCTGTAAACTTTAACCTATCCTATAGAATATAATTTATTAAAACAAAAAACGACCATACCCTTGACCCAGAAGCTTCCCTTCTGGGAATTTTTTGGGAGAAATAATTAAGGGTAAACCTAAAAAATCATCCACATGGATGTGTGTCCCAGAGGTGTGGTTAAGATGAAAAGGTGGAAATAATTTGTGTCTAGGACAGGTAAAGTAAATCCAGACAATTCAATCATGAATCATAATCTGATAGAGATATTATTCTTGATAAGGAAGGTATTCATCATTGATAATTGAGTGGAAAAGCAGATTATGAAAAAAACCTGTGAAATATCTATTTTTATATATGCATGGGGGTATAGATAAATCTATTGCAGTGTGTTAATGTTGATTATCACTGGTGGATAACACCATAAGGTGTGTTTTTTTTCTTTTTATAGAAGCAATACTTGTTTGTTACAGAAAGTACAGCTCAGCAAAATGGAAAAACTCACTTTTTTCATTAAAAAAAAGGCTGGAAATGATTCCATATAAATCCAACAGCAGTAGCAACAGAAGACTCTGTCCTAAAGAAAGGCATTCTAAGAACAGATGGGACATAGGCAGGCAAACAAGCCGCTGCCTGCTACTTCTGTGCAAGGATCTCCCTGTGCAATAGTGCTGCCTGAACAGGCCTGCTGGTGCCTCTCCATCTTCCACAGAAACAGGCCGCCACACAGTCCCTGTGGTGTGCAAGACGGGGAGCCGCCTTTAAACATGGCAGACAAGTTGCAAGATGCATGGAGATCAGAGCGTGGACCTGAGCAGCGCTAGAGACCCGAGCTTCTCTTCGAGCAGTGATGGCGAACCTATGACCGCGTGTCAGAGGTGACACGCGAACTCATTTTTTTTTTGTTGATTTTTCTTTGTTAAATGGCATTTAAATATATAAAATAAATATCAAAAATACAAATCTTTGTTTTACTATGGTTGCAAATATCAGAAAATTTTTATATGTGACACGGCACCAGAGTTAAGTTAGGGTTTTTCAAAATGCTGACACGCTGAGCTCAAAAGGTTCGCCATCACTGTCTTAGAGGCATCTTCGCAGGCCTACAGAGGTACAGGCACTGTGAGGCCTGAGAGACAAGCCCAGTGTCTGTATTTCCTTCTCTTTCTATAGCAATCCTGACTGTTGAGAGGAAAAGCAGATTATGAAAGGACCTGTGAAATATATATTTCACCTGGCATTTTTCATCCTAAAAAAGTACCTTCCATCTCATTACAACAACCCTTAAAGCAGCGGCTCTCAACCTGTGGGTCGCGACCCCTTTGGGGGTTGAACGACCCTTTCACAGGGGTCGCCTAAATACATCCTGCATATCAGATATTTACATTACGATTCATAGCAGTAACAAAATTACAGTTATGAAGTAGCAACAAAAATAATTTTATGGTTGGGTCACAACATGAGGAGCTGTATTAAAGAGTCGCAGCATGAGGAAGGTTGAGAACCACTGCTCTAGAGGGAGTGCTACTCAGAGAGGTTGAGTCCCTCACCCACAGTCCCGCAGCTCGGCAGTTCAGCTCAGTTTTAAACCAAGCTCAGCCTGATGACTTCAAAGCAACTAGATAATGCTGCCTCCCTCGGTGGTCAATGCCAACTACAGAAGGAGCTGTCTATCTAACACCCTTAGTTCATTTCAAACAACAACAAAACAGACATTAAAATAACCTCTGAGTACCACTCCCATTACAAATCGAAGTGTGATTGGTAAAAGTTTCAGAGGAGGACGGTGAATGGCTGAGGTGGAAGTCTGGCCACTTCCCTTGGAGAAAGTAGACTTTTGTAGACTATTTTAAGATAAAATCTTATGAGCACAGACCAGCTTCTAAACAAGTGAAGGAGCACTAGGAGATGATTATATTGTTAACCCTCCAGGAAAGACCACACGCAAAGGAAGACAGGTGATTAATTAAATTGTGAAAACAAATATGCTCTGTTTGAAGATGCTATTCTGGAAAATATATTTTATCTCTGTCTCTGCCCATCTCTGTCTCTCTTCCTCACTTAGCAGGCTGTAAAGTCAAGTCCAGGAGGGCAATTGCTGTGTCTCTCTTACTTATTGGTGTGCCTGGCATCATGCCTACACACAGTGGACTGTCAATAAATATTTAGCAAGTAAAAGAATCAATCAGCGATATGCCAGGATCTCAAGGTCTCATGCTTTTAAACTATGAGATGAACTATATCCTTCAGACCCAAGAACAGATCTCTTTTAGGATAATGAGAAAAGATTTCATCAGTCGTGGCTTCTGACCTTTACCCCGAGCCAGTGCTAGGAGTCATAGAGTAAAGAACCTGGCAACACAAAAAGCACTCACTTATAATTTCATTATACTCATTTGGGGTCGGGATGGGGGGTTGGGGGAGGAGGTTGTTGACCTCTTTGTGAATATGATGAAAATTGTGACCTCTTTCAGACAAAGGAACACATAGGCAAATGTTGTATACCATTTCAGTGGGTTCATGAACCCTTTGTGCATTTCGAGTGAAGAATGCTGACCGTGAACTACAGCTTAAGGGCACAGTCACCATGCTAGGCTCTCATAGTTGAAGGGCATTGACAAGAGAACAATAAGAGCTCGCTTTCGATATAATACCAAGGGGGGGAGGGTGGATTATGATGCCAGTTCCAACTGTGCCTTGATTCTGGTGAGAAGCTTGCATAAAAGACCTTTTGTTCCCCTTGGGACAGATGTCACCAAACACGTGGCTCCTTAGCGCTGGTTCACGGTCCCGCCCTTCCCAGCATGCTCCCTCCATCCTGTGATTGGACAACAGTCAGGGAAAAGGAGCGGAAACGGGAGGGATCTGGATAGTAAAGGCTGCCCAGTTGGTTCTCTGGGCTCCCAGAGTACACTTAGCTTATTGTCAGGCTACGTCTTGAAATATTTTCGCCCTGAGCCAAAGTACTCCAAGTTAGTTGCCTAGGATATTTTCCCTTAAAGTCTTTCCCAGATGGATGTAAAAGAGCACAGATTTGATACAGATATAGACAGTCCCTTGTGAGGTAACGTTCTCGAGGTTATGGCTGGGAGCTGGTGCGCCCCAAGCCTGTCCTCTTCCTTACGTAGCCCCTGTCTCTACCAGAGGAAGATTTTACCTCCCTTCCAACCTCCCTGACTTGACTACTTCAGACTTTATCCAGGGGACACAGACCTTGCTCTGTGATCGAGGATTTTACATCTCTCAGAGCTCCACTGTGTCCAGATGGGGAAAGGGCTAATAAAAATAACAGCCCCCTCCATCCTAGGATCATAAGGGGCGTGGCAGAGGGTGAGGAGGCCTTGGCTCAGTGCCCCCGCCACTCAGGCACCGCGCCGATTGGCTCTTGTGAGTTTTGGCTGTGGCCTTGAGAAGTGCAGGACGGGGAACTGGGTGAGTTTGCTGCTTTTGCCCTTTTCAGAGTGCTTGCTCCTGTCCCCCTTCTTTTTCTGGCCCTGCCCTCCTGCCCCAGCCCCTGTCTCAGCCATGTTCTCGCCCAGCACCAAGCCAGGGAGGTCCACCCCTGAGCAGCTGAGCCCCCCGCCATCCTCTGGGACACAGCTCATGGTTTGGCCACTGAAGTATCAGTGCCATCTAGGATGACTGACTATTCCCTTCAACTCCCTCTCTCTCCTCCCTTTCTTCCTGTTGTGTTCACTTCTTACTCACTTTTTAAAAACAACTGTTAATTGAATGCTTCTACGTGCCCAGTGCATTATTAGTGTTAGAGAAACAGTAGTTAATAGAATAGATTGTATTTCTACTCTTTCATGCTCCAGTGGGTGGTAGACGGGAGAGTAAATAGCAAATACTTTACAGGATGTGATAAGGGCTACGAAAGAAATAAGGTGGCGATGAAGAATCATCAGGGTCCTACTTAGGTGCAGTACCCCCTCTGAAGCGGTGACGTCTGAGTCGGGTGACTGTCCGTGGCATGAACTGAAACCTTGGCGGGATTCCGTGAGAGGAGAGCAGGATGACAGTTTCCTGTTGTCTTTCTTTCCTAATAGTATATGGCTTAAGGCTTAGGGGAAGCCAGACTCCTGATTTTTACTAGCAATTCACTTTGCCAAGTAAGTTTAAAGAACGATTCTGAGCCACCCCTGCTCATTTAAATAGCTGTTTCCTTGCTGTGGCCCTGTGTATGTTATGTGTATTATTGTACTTAATCCTCCAAGAATCCAGGAAGTAGGTTTTATCATCACCATTATCCCTGTAGTCAGATAAATCGGAACTTAGAGAGATAAGTAGCTTGCCCATGGCCACGTGCAGCGCCCAGCAGTGGCAGGGTGAGGGCTGGAACCCGAGGTCTGACCACAGAGCCTGTGCCTTCAGCCGCAGCCTCGGTCACCTCCCCCCTGTGATGTCTTGCCTCACCTGATCTCCTTTCCTTTGCAGTGGGGCCAGTGACGAAGAGGACACATGAAGGCTCGCCATCCCCAGCGGAGAACCATTCCTTCCCCCTGTGTGTGTGTGACAGCGTGTATGTAACGGCTTCTGACTCTGTGAAAGCTGCCCGGCAACCAATGTCCTTCCACCCATACGTCCCCAGGCCTCAGCAGGCACATAGCTCTCCGGGGATGCCCGTTTCATGCTCGCTGACGGTGTGCTTCTCATTCTTGTGTCGTGGTGGGTTAAGGAAGAGTCCCCCTTTGATCAATCAGGAGCAGTTGGGAAGGGTCCTTCAGGTAGCCCCTCCATGGCTGCTTTGAACTAAGAAAGCCAGCCCCTGGAATATTAGGGACCCAGACATACCTCCTCACTAGGAAGACTCTGGAGTAACCTTGAAGGGCAGTCAGAATATTTTCCCTACCTGCCACCTTATTCCTATTGGAGCATGAAATAAATGGGGCAGAGTAGGGCTGGAACCACATAAATCATCTCTAAAAGTCCAGTGCATTTGTGAAAAGGTGGTTTCTTGAAATAAGATGGATGGTTTAAAGACAGGGTTGGAGAAAGAGTTAAAATTCAGACATATATAGAGATATTTTTAGTACATGAGGTTATCCAGGACTTCAGATTCATAATCCAGTGCTGTGGAAATGAAAAAAAAAAAAAAAAAGATTGAAGACTTAGAAAGGAAATAACATTAAAAAAAAGAGGACCAAAGAGATCTGATTAAACGTTGAAATCAGTTTTCTGAACCCAAATTGTCTGAGTTTCTAAAACAGTCACTGAAGGATCTGATGGACCTGAATGATTGGGTGAGTTCTGAGATTTGATGCATTTTGTCACATGAAAGGCTGGGATGTGTATTACCAAGTGGGGATTTTCAATGTAGGTTTTTGCTCTATGCGCGCGCGCACACACACACACACACACACACACACACACACACACACACACACACACACACAGCCTAATTTGGCTTAAATGCAGTGTGGGGAGAGTTCTTGTCACTCACGATGTACTGAATGGAGCGCTGAGCTTTGTCTCTCAGTAGATACCCTCCCTGCATGGCAGCCGGAGCCCCTCTGCCCGTGCACTCCCAGCCAGCTCTCCCTGGAGCATCTCCCCGCCGAAACCTCCTCTCTAGTCACGTGAGCAGACACATCATGCTCCCAGATCCCAGCTCCTCACAGCCAGGTTTTCATGCTCAAATGAGCAGTGATGTCCTAGGGAATGCCACGCTGCTAAAACACCTGCATCTTCTGCAGCATCCATCTTACTTAGATAGTTTGGAATCAGGGGGTGACCTTATTTTTAGGTAAAACAAACAGTTACAGCATGAAGTAGAGTTCTGTACATATCAGCATGGTTAAGGTAAAAGGGGAGCCTCCACAGGAAATTCTCATTTGCAGGTGGGGTGGGTGCTCCCTCTCCTCGGCCTTTAGTGGCACTTTGGTCTTCATTTCTGAGAAGGACCATTGGACCTGTATCCTGGTGTCGCTGGGGCTCCTGCTGACTGGGGCGTACACTTCTGGTGCCTCTGAGGCACTCAAGGAGCCTACCCTGGGGAAGCCCCTCTTCCTGCCTGCTGCCTGCCTGCCTGATCCCTGGGCCCATTACGTAGCTTTGGGGCCTGCTGACTTTTGTGTGCATAGTATGGTTTTGAGGCAGAAACAATACTTATGTGCTGTAGGAATCCTATGTATATCATTGTTCAGTTCTGTGCATGCTACTCAATGACCAACCATTCCTTTGGTGCCAGGAGCTACCAGGCATGTGTACTTCTGGGTTAGGGTTATCCTAGCTCACTAACTATGTCAGGGCTTATTTATAAATTTGAGAGGAGTTTGGACGGTTAAGGGGGCGGGAAAGGGTATTTTTTTCTCAAACTAGTAGCCAACAAATGGCCAAGACAATGGCGCTATACCTGTCTGCCTGCAAAGGCCAGAGAATCCCACATAACACTGATTACAGCTCCAACCCATCCGACGAAACGCCCCTTAAAGAAAAACCAATGGCCTCTCTTAAAATAAGAGTTTAAAAACCAGACGATTAAGATGTGGGAACTCGTGTTATCTTCTCTGAGTAATTCTTTTTCAATCTTTACATAGTAGCCTTGTCTCAGCAATGGACAGAACTCTGGCCTCTTCGTACCTGATCCCACGTTACTTTAAATCAGTATTTGGGAAACCCAAGCATTTATGCAGAGGATATGAACGGAAATGTGAAAATGCATGCCAGCCTGTCTCCATGAGTTATCGTATCCCTGTAGTCCTCAAGGAAAGCACTTCTGCTTTTATTTAGAGAGGATTTCAGACTCACTCTGTGGGCTCCTGCTGTCCTCAGCACCTGATAAAACTTTAAGCAGGGAAGCATGAACCAGTGCAGCGGCGTCTGCCAGGCTCCTGAGTTCCTGCCGCCAGCGTTGCCAACACCGGAATGAGGATGCTTCCTGCAGCGGCACCGGCTTCCCAGAGCTGCAGCTGCAGGCACCGTGAGCCCCAGCGTGGGGAGGCCTCCCTCCCGCAGGTCCTACACAGTGTGCTCCAAGTCCTGTCCTGACTGCCTCAGGCTCTGCGGAAACCCAGGAGAGTCATGCTGCCAGGCAGCTAATGAGCATCTTCAGCATGAACTGGGTCCTAACACCAATGCCTGGCTGCCTTCCAAATACCCGGCGTCTGGACGCTGACGGGGGGCGGGGAGGGTGTGTTTGTTTTTATTTGATGTCATTAAATTCAGTGCCATTCCAAGAAATGCTTGGAGTCTCAGCTCTGACAACCAGGAAGGGAAATAACCTATACTGGGGACCAGCTATGGACCAGGCCCTGTACTAGGCCCCCGTTCCCAGATGACGAAGCCGATTGGGAGTGGAAGACTCACTTGCCTTGCCCTACTAGGAAATATTGGAGCCGGGTTTTGAGCCCAGCTCTCCCTAACTCTGTGGCCCATGGTCCATCTCAGTACAGAGGGCGAAAGGCGGCAGCGCCCCCCCGCCCCCCCCCCACACACACACACCCCTGCAATGCGACCACCCACTTTATGACGTCTTTTTCAGAATTACATTGTATGGCTGTGGTTTGGGCTCAGAAAAGGCATCAAAGCTGCCCTTTTTCCTCTTCAGCGGGTGCATTAAGTACGAGTTGCTAATTTAAGCCATTTAAGCCCGCCCCCAGGAGTGTCTCCCTTAAGAATTTCCGGGCCTTCAAGAGTACACAGCTTCTCAGCAGCAGTGAAGGGGGAGGCCATCATGTTTCAGTCCCCTTGGCCAGCTCTGTGCCTGGGCGGGGGCGGCCATTCATAGTCCACTGAGCCTTGCTGACCCCTGGTATGCGTGTGGACATAAAGGTAAGTGTATGTGTATGGACCTACACGCACACACATGCACACACACATAATTTAAGAACAAAGGGAATTCAAAGCAGCCCCTCATTCCGCAGGCCCCCGCAAAGGTGTCCGCCAGCCCTGATTACACGTCACCAGGCAGTCGGAGCTGAGGGGCTGACAGGATGCCAACAGGAGGAGCAGCTCCTCGGCAGGGGTTGCCAGGTCCTAAAGCACTGAGCCCGGGTGGCAGCCCTGCTCCGGGTGGCCTAGTGAAAAGGGAAGTCTGCCAACCCATTCTGGGGCTCCGAGAGTCTGACCCCTCCGGTCAGCCTGTGGGCACAGCTGCCAAATTCACAACCGGTAGGAAAGGCAAGGCCCCGAGGCCTCTTCTCACCAGAAAACGTTCTCCTCCAGTGCCTGAAACCCCACACTCGTGTGATGGCTGCTCAGTGCTTTTTGATAAGAAAATCCGTTGCAATGTTTCCCATGTGCCTAGCACCCCTGGGATTTTGTATTTAAAGAACAAATCTCATTGTGGATGGACTCGGCCCAGCCCTGAGAGCAAAAGATGGCCCATTGGGGAGACTTCTCATCGCACTGTCTGTGCCTAGCTCACCCCAGCCGATTCCAAGCGCCATAAGGCCAGGCAGTTCTGCCCTCCGGGGCCTGCCAGGTAAAACAGTGCCATTCGGAACTGAGAACACACTAGAAATCGCAGAACATGCATCAGAGCAAGAAAATGGAAATTCAGACAGTCGTACACCTACTGGTGTAAAAAAGTGCCACAGAGCCCGGGCTGGGTGTGATGTGACCTTGAGGGGACAATAGATTCATACTTAAAGGGAGCTAAGCCTGACGGGTCTCTCTACTGTGACAGGCACTACTGCCTGGGGGGGAGAACACGACCTGCTGTCCTCTGCCTGTTGTCCTGTGCAGTCCCATCCCTCCTTACGCATCGTCCCCCTCCCCCCTTTACGTTAAACAAGGGAGCACTCAATCTTTCAAGGGAACCACTCGTTTGAGTTAATGTTTCAGTACATCATCTTCATACTGTAAATTATTTTGTAAGAGCGATTTACCGCCATCCCAGGATGTTTGGACTCAGCGCCCCTGTGCATTTGGAAATCAATAAACTATTACTGGAAATACCATCTGTCTCTCAGAGTTGGGCACAGAGGACCCGCTGGGGGTGGTATTCATGATAGTCCACGTGTTTAACTGTGGGCCTGCTGGTGCTGTGGCACTCTGGTCCCCAGGTGTGGGAGTCCCATTTACTCCTGATTTCTCTAGAGTGGCTTAGGAGAGCTCGGGCAAGTGGCAAAGGGCAGACTGAAAGTCATTATACTTAGCAAGATGTTGATGTGGCTTCTTCTCAAAGTAAAATAATCCCTGCCCCGGTTACATTTTCTGAGCAGAGGAGATTATAGCCTAAGGAATACATGGTCCTGAGTGGGGTTTTCGAATATAAAGCTTTACAATTTGGATTAACCAGGGGGCAGGTCAGACTTGAATTTTTTATATTTTCTAGGGGGGGAAAAAATTTCACACAGGAAATCACAGTGAGGCCAGCAACATCGTTTGTGTGGAATACACATTTGATAAAATTGCTGAGGAGACAGGACTAAGTTGTAAATGAAGCAATTCTAGTCCAATCTGTAAAATCAGGACCAGAGGTGTCACTGAAACCAAGTCAGGTTCTCAGAGGCAAACTGTGAAACCCAAGACGGTCGATACTGTGAGAATTAGAAATTTCAAATCCTGCCTAAAGGCATTAAAGTTCAATTTTTAAAAATTCAACCTAAAACCCATCAGCAGGTGTGTGTGGAGGAGCTGTAGCTTATGAACCCTGCTTTAAATTTCCTTCTAACAAACCTATGTCTGTCAGACCTCTGTAGTCGGCTGGGGACCGCACAGACTTCGGAGGAATTGTGCAAGATAGGGAGGGCCAGTCACCCAAGGTCCCCCAGGAGCCACGCTCATAAAACCAGGACAGCAGCCTCTCTGTCTCCGACAGCCACCAGGAGGCCCTGCTTCCCCTGTCCCAGCCGCTGAGGACACTTCCGCCTGGCGGGGTGGCATTGCCAAGCACCAGAGCTCTTGGGAGTCTCAGGGTTTTAATCAACCACAAAGTGTTGGGAGGTTTTCTTCCCCACTTCCTGGTGCCAGGATCTCACCACCACATCCCCGTGCCCCAGCCCTTCCTCTCATTTTGTTGTCTTTCCCTCTGAAAGCTACAACTCTTTGTTTTATTGATCTTTGCTTGGTCCAGCGTAGGGGTGGGCCCATTTCCGTTACGCTTTTAAAAGGGTGAGACAGCAGCTTGTCTGGAATATCTCCTGGCCTTAACCAGGCACCAGAAATACCCAGCCGAAAGTCTGCCTGCCAGTCTTAATAAGAGAAGAAGATGTCATGGGAAAAAAAAAAAAGGCTG